AGCCCCCTCCCGCCCTGCCCGCCGCAGCCGCCCCGCGCGCCCCCTGCCCGCTGCGGCCTCCGCGACTGCCGCGCCTCGTGGCGGCCGGGCCCGGGCGGAGCTCGCGCCGCCTCAGCTGCTGCCGCTCCAGCTCCGTGCTGCGCGCGCGCCCCTCCGCCGCCTCAGCCTTTTGTTTCGCCCCCCCCAGCTCTCAATCCCCTCGCGCTTTGCAGGCAGCGCGCGCCGCCGCCGTCGGGCCCGGACAGCCGCGGGGAGGGGGAGGAAGCGGCGCGCGCCGCCGGACAGCCTGAGAGCGAGCGCCGCCTGCAGGCCGCCGGGGGCAGCGCAGCCCCCATGGAGCGGGTGAGCGAGGCCGCCGCCTGCGGCCCGTCGTCGGGTTGCTACACCTACCAGGTGAGCCGCCACAGCGCCGACATGCTGCACAGCCTCAACCAGCAGCGCAAGAACGGCGGCCGCTTCTGCGACGTGCTGCTGCGGGTGGGCGACGAGAGCTTCCCCGCGCACCGGGCCGTGCTGGCCGCCTGCAGCGAGTACTTCGAGTCGGTCTTCAGCGCGCAGCTGGGCGAGGGGGCCGGCGGGGGCGCGGAAGGGGGCGCCCCGGAGGCCGGGGCTGGCGGCGGCGGGGCGGCCGCGGGCGGGCGGGAGCTGGAGATGCACACCATCAGCTCCAAGGTCTTCGGGGACATCCTGGACTTCGCCTACACCTCGCGCATCGTGGTGCGGCTGGAGAGTTTCCCCGAGCTCATGACGGCCGCCAAGTTCCTGCTCATGCGCTCCGTCATCGACATCTGCCAGGAGGTCATCAAGCAGTCCAACGTGCAGATCCTGGTGCCCCCCGCCCGCCCCGACATCATGCTCTTCCGCCCCAGCGCCGCCGACCTGGGCTTCCCCCTCGACATGACCAACGGGGCCGGCCTGGCGCCCAATGGCAACGGCATCGCCGGCATGCCCGAAGACGAGGCTACGCGGGCTGCCCTCACCGCCGCCCAGTCCTCCTTGCCCGTCCTGCAAGGCGTCGACCGTCTGCCCATGGTGGCGGGACCCTTGTCGCCACCCCTACTGGCCTCGCCTTTCCAGAACGTGGGGACCAGTGCCCCAACTTTGGGCACCAAGAGGGGCAGGGGGCGTCCCCGCAAAGCAAACGTCTTGGACTCCATGATGTTTGGTACCCCAGGGGGTCTGCGAGAGGCTGGCATCCTTCCTTGTGGCCTCTGTGGGAAAGTGTTTACAGACGCCAATCGTCTGCGGCAGCATGAGGCTCAGCATGGGGTGACCAGCTTACAGTTGGGTTACATAGACATCCCACCGCCAAGGCTTGGTGAAAATGGGGTGCCTGGTCAGGATGATCCTGATGCCCCCCGAAAGAGGAGCAGGACAAGGAAGCAGGTGGCCTGTGAGATCTGTGGCAAGATTTTTCGGGACGTGTACCACCTGAACCGGCACAAGCTGTCGCACTCCGGCGAGAAGCCATATTCTTGTCCAGTGTGTGGGCTACGGTTCAAGCGGAAAGACAGGATGTCCTATCACGTTCGGTCTCATGATGGCTCTGTGGGAAAGCCCTACATCTGCCAGAGCTGTGGAAAAGGCTTCTCCAGGTAAGAGGACATTGATGTGGAATGGAAAAGACCTAGAGGGTTATCTAGTCCACCTCTTGAGGACCAGTGTAGAATCATCCCCACTCTGCTAATTTTACATAGATGGGGCTTTCATCGTTTTTTTTTTTGGGGGGGGGGGGAGACTATTTTACAGCCCTGTAGAAGAGTTAACTAGTAATTAAATCACAAAATGTGGAGTTGGGTTTTGTCGTAGACTTGGTGTGTGACGGTGGGCAAGTTACTCTTCTGTCAAATGGGTATTGAAATAATTGGGTGTTCAGAGGCTTAATTATGGGTTGGGAAGTGATTTGAAGCCCTCCACTGCAAGTTGCTATTGAAGTGCCGAGTATTTTCATTGTCTTAACTTCACTCCATTTGTCCTAGTGTATAATCACCCAGATATGAATGAAGAGTTGATATTTCCAAGTCTGCAGCAACAGTTATCTCTTTAATACATGGTCTTTGTGTCCTTTGTGTTTACAGCATCCTGAAGGGGATCCTGTTTCTACCCTGCAGCATACATAAGATCTGTGTATTTAATGTGGCTGATATTTGTTGTCACTTAGTGAACTCCCACAAACAAGTGGATCTTTGATACTGCCTTAATATGGCTTGTGTGTATCTTGTGGTTTGAGTTCAGGAATGAATTTGAGACTTGGGTCTTTCACTAGTTTAGTGTTCAATTTGAGGAGAGGTAGATAAGGGAAAAGAGTCAATACCAGCCTTCCTACTTCTGCAACGTCCTTAGTTAATGGATATGAGCTCTTTCACTTGCTCTGGCTGGTGAGAAGGAACTGAGATGTTAAGCAGTGAAATTCCCCTTTGGATAAAGGTACCCCAGGAATATAAACTTAAAAATCTTTGTTTCTACTGAATCTGCTCTGGTAATAAGGACAGGATCTCTTTGCTATACATACAAACAAAATCTATGATAAAGAGGAGTTCTACAATAACTGGCAAGTGCAGGAATGTTTGAAGACAATAAACTTGTTACAGAAACAGCATCTACTTGAAATCTAATCACCATGAGGAGATAAAAGTACTTTCATGTCCTGTACCTGCCCCTGAGATCCCCTGCCAGTTTTTATTTTCCAATCACACTTTAATAAAAGAAAAATCTTTTACCCTGCTGTTGCTGTGATGAAAGACTTCCATGCATAAAATAAAGTAACCGACTGATTTTCCGAAGTACTGAAAACTCAGTGCTCCCATTGAGTTCAGAAAACCAGGGCCTAAATGTTAAAAGTGGGAACAGTGAAAATGTTGACATGCCTTTGTAAAAAAAACAACAACTTAAAAATAGAGAATATTTTTTCTCTAGTCTTCTAGTTTTAGTAATCTTAAGTGTTATACAAAAGTATGTAAACAAACAGAAGTGTGGTGTTTAACTTTACAGTATGCCTTTAGTTCAAGGATTGATTCAAGGGGCATCCCTGGAAGTCCATAGGTATGTACTAGGAGTTCAAACCTCTGACTAGTCTTTCCAGTTAAACAGCCCCAGCCCACCTGCCCAGGCATCAGGTTTAACAGCTTAACTGTGGAGTTAACTTATCTTCTGTCTCTTGAAAATGAATTCCACCCAGCGCTCTCTGACTGGCTGAGACTTGAAAGTTGGGGGAGGAGAGTTGGAGAATTAGTTTCCAAGCAGCTTTGGCCTCATACAATGAAAAGCTTTCTTCTCACCCAGAGAAACACCCACTAGGAAAATCATTAGCTATTCAGGCTTCCCTCCTTCAAAACAAGCTTTACCAATCACTGGGAATGGACTAACTTCTTTCAGTAATAATTTGCTCTTCTACAGCACTTCTAGTTGAAGCCCTCAAAGTACTTTACAAACATTAATTATGCCTCACAGCGTAGTTGTGAGGGAGGACAATATTTTTTCCATGTTATATCTGAGGAAATTGAGACACAAAAGTAGAATTTAATGCCAAAATTTTCATACTGGGGTGCCTAAAGTTGAATCCCTAAATCCATATTTGGACACCTAAATCAAAGTGGCCTGACTTTAAAATGCTCAGCACTTCTGACACTGAGGTCACTTTGATTTAGG